AGACCTAGTGCTGGTCTAATAATGTCCATACTAATGCCATTAATAATGTTCATAGGTCAGTAAGCACTGCAGTGATGGTGTGAGGGATGAAATGGTCTATCATTTCTGTTAGTGGCACTCAATGATACTATCACTGCTGATACTATTGGGTTTTTCTCGAAACTTCACAAAAAACTGTAGAAAACACTAAATACTAGCTAGAGATTTATAAAGTTAAAGATGTATTTTCTCCTCATTCTAAATCAAAAACTCTCTTTTGGGTTAGGAATTTATGCTCTCAGGAGACATCAAGAAATGAGAGATAGCTTCACCCTGGCAGAGAAGCAAGTAAGAAATGGTCACAGAAGGCATGGCAATTTCTTGGTTCAGTTAGCCTGAACCAAGACAGCAGGTGAACAAATTTAAATTTCCATAATTCACCCCCACCCCCAACCAAATCCAATTATATTCAAGCCCTGTATTTTGCACAAAGCCTTCTTCGATATTCCCAAGGGATAGTGATAGCCTAAAACTTTGTTTCTTCCATGAGTTTGGCATTGTATCATATATATCCTTAGGATGGTGAATTTTTTTTAAACACATCTGTTTCTTATTATCCTAATAGGGTTGGAGGATCAAGTAGCAGAAGTGAAAGGCATCTTTTCTCTTCTGTGGACTTTGAGGGTATTTTGGGGTAACAGTGGGTGAACATTTATGCAGTGATTACTCAATTCGTCCATTAAAGGTCCTGACTGGACTTACCTCAGTATTTTGACAATAGCACTACATTTCAAAATGTGTTAGTTTTAGCTGTAGGGTAAATAGAGTAGGTCAGGCTTTTCTCACTATGGCTTCTGAAGTGCTTTGGGCCTGAACTTTGCAACAACTGTGTGACTCAGCTGGTTGAGCATATCCATGAACCCCTTGAGTCATGCACACAAGCCATACCTAAGATACCTAAGGTAAGGTTGCCATGCAGCCTTAAGATTGGATATGCGTGAACAGCCATGTAAGGTCATCCTTGGCCAATACCACTTTTGCCCAGAGAGGGTATGAACGGGTACTTCTGAAGGATAGGGAGATGGGGTGACACTGTTCTTGGACAGGGCTCTGCCACTGGAGGACAAGGGGCACAACTGCTGCTGCTGCTAAGGGACAGAATATAGAGACAGAATGTGTCCAGGGACAGAAATTAAAGAAGTGAAGAGAACAGAGCTGGTGCTTCTGTGCAGAGCTTGTGAATCTGTGCTGGGATGGGACCAGTGAACAGTGCGCTATTATGCTATGGGCTGCTGTTGTTGCTATGATGAATCTATGTCAGAGCTTTGATCATGGCATCTTTCGCTGGCCTGCCCGAATCAAACCGAAAGCTGAAAGTCACCTGAGAAGAACCTGGAACACAGTTGCTGAATGTCTTTTTGAGGCCTTGTGTCTGAGCTTTGTTGTTTTTTTTTTCTCTCTTTTCTCTTCCATTAAGCAGCTGTGTGATTTTGAGCAAGTAATTTCCCCCTGGGTCTCCATTTCATTCCTTATAAGATGGAAAGCATGAATTAGATCATCTCTTAAGGTCTCTCGATCTTTAAGAAATTTCAATCAAAGAGTTTAGATCACCTTCATCAACATTACTAAAGCTTTTCACACTTCATTAGGGCTGGATTCAAGTTTCCAGGATTATTCAACAACCCAAAGGAGTTCTGAAATACTTCAACACTAGACTTGTTTGGGAAGGTAATTCACCACTTTATCAATTACAGTCCTAGTAAGTTAAAGTTTGCTTGGAGTTTCTGGAATGATAGTCCCTTTCCAACCATAGTCAAAAAAGACAAAAATGGGATTAGCTGGAAAAGTTCTTGGAAACTTCTAAAGGCCTGCATGTTGTAAACGCTTCAACAACTTTCTTTCAAGGACTGTATGTCGCATTTGGATGACTTAAGCGGCCCTTGGACAGGTCCTAGTCAGAATCCCCAGCGGTTCTCTTGACACAGGGACATTTCCTGGAGCTTGTTGAGACTGAGTTGTGCCCTTCCTGTTGTCTTTAGTCTGTTTCATCCCTTCACCCGCTTCCAGTTTCCCTCTTCACCACCTTCTTCCTGGTGCTTCAGGCAACCTGCTCATGGTACTCTCCAGGCTGTGCTGAAGCCAGGCCCCCTCAGCTTCTAAGGGACAGGAAACGGAGCAGGGGGAGTGATATTTTGGGGGAAAATAATGTGTTAGTAATGTCTTTACAGTATTTAAAGGATGTCTTCATTACCTTCCCTACTCCATGCATACTTTCTATGGTCTAACGTAATTTACGGGTAGCTTAGGTAAATCTATTCTCTTGCGGATCTATCTCATCTGTAGGAGCCACCTCTCAGGGCCACTGGCAGGACTAAATATATTCTGGTATGTAAAATTACTTAGAACAGTGCTTGGCATTTAGTAAACACAACATTTAGTAAGCTCCAAATGACGGAAATCTTTAAAAAAAATTGGGATTCCCTTTAAGAACAGTATGTTTCTACTGATGGAGATTTGATTAGGGACCAAACAAGAAGGCTTGATCCAATTGCTTCAGTACGCCAAGTAAGTAAAGTTACAACAAGGGGAGGAGGTTGATGGGTGAAGAGAGGAAGCTGTGCAGATAACCAAGACCCATTCAGCCCTGACTTGTTATTGTTCTCTGAATTGAAAATATCTTTTGTGATACTCCTATCATAGCGTAAGTTTCATTGGTAAGAATGGCATGTATCCTTTTACACAGAGAAGCTTCTATTTTCTAGAGGTATAACTTGTTTATAGAATCTTCTATTAACATTTGGGCATATTCAGGAGCTCCCCCTCCCCCACCCATCCACCCCCTTGGTCCAATCTTGAAGCCTGTCAATGTGCTTGGCTGTGCGAACCATGGGAACCATTCTTGGCTTCTCTTATCTCTAGTTGAGCAGTAATTTTGGGGTGAATTATCTGTGACAACCACTGTAGAGTGAAGTTATCTTATTTTTCCATCCCTTTCTGTTACACTGACAAAGCACTGTTATCAGTTTTACTTGGGATAGTCACAACAGCTTGGAAATTCTGTATTTCAACCTAAATGACAAAAGACTTCAGCTGCTTTCCCAGCTGAGATGAATGGTTCCTTATTCCTTCCCTATTTTCAGGCTAACTACTCAGTGAGCCTTCGCTTCTCTTTGGTCATTCTTCATTTCCCATGGCTCTGCTCAAAAGCTAGACATCAATCACATCTCATACTCTCCAGGCTACCAGCTTGCTAAGCCATTTGATCTCATTTTAATCACTGAAATACTGGCCTCTCAATGTCTTAACACCTGCCTGTGGTCCAGCATCCACATGGGAGCCAGTATGATCCTTTAGAAGGTAAGTTACATCACATTAGGCTTGTCTTCTGCTCAGAACCTCTATGTAACAACTCACTTCAGTCAAGTCCCTTACAAAACCTTGTATTGCCATACACCTCGCCTTCTGGCTCCCTCTTCACCTTCATACCAACTTACATTTTCTGCCTTAGTTTCTTCTTCCCTCCTTCATGCATCAGCCTGACCACTGACTTTCCTTCTGTTATCACAAATATTTCCTCAGGGAGGCCTATTTAAATATGTGCTAGTCTACATACAACTAAGTACCTCCTAGCCTGTGCTCTAGTTTTTTCCACATCACATTACTATCCAATATAGAATGTTCCCAAATTTGGTTCCCAAAAGTTTCTAGCTAGTTCCCAAATGATGCTGGTGGTTCCAGGGACAACACCCTTTGAAAAGCACTGCTTGTTGGTAATCTCTCCTTCCAGTCTTTTATCTTTTTTGAGTTACGTAGAGCTAACCCACCCAAACTTTAGGAACTACATACTGTTTCTGAAAACTCAGAAATATTCGATTCATGAACTTTCTGACTATGTGAGACTGAGGCTGGGCCTCAGACTGCATTTGTAACGAACACCCTTTGAGGACCATTAGCCAAATACAATATATGATATACTTTTATTTAACATGTCTGTTCTTTACCTCATTAGAACCTAAACTCTGAGGCAGAGATTCTTTTCCTGCTACTTGTTTTTGCAAGGAAAAATAGGTTCTTTGTAGCTGCTCAGTGAATAGATGTTGAATGAATAAAAATTGTTTTTCCTAGTGTTACACCAGAATGAGTGAGTTTTATCATTAGCATCTACATAAAAACAAATACAAAGTAAGAAAACATTATGAAGTGCAGTCCCTCAGGCATGAAAGCATTTTCAGACATTGGGCCACAAAGAAAACTTTTTCCCCTGATATTTGGGAAGTAAAATTTTAACATCCACATTATAGTATTAAAACGAACAACAATAAACACTTATTGAATTCTACCTTGGGCTAAGCACTTCATGAATTGTATTTCAAGTCTCCTACAGAGTGAAGGGTTTTGTGGTAACACGTAGCCCTGTCATCATAGTCTTGTCCCGTTCCTGCCAGGTGCTCTCCTAATGAGAGTATGAAATAGGAGGTGATATTTTTTAGTGTATAAACAAGAATTGAATTAAAATTTGCTTATATGTAACTCTTTTAGAATAATTCTAGCCAGTTGTCAATTATAAGGATGGTTTATAGACTATCTTCGAGCACTGGTTATCCAGATCTGCTAAATCCTGTCTGTGAAAACATATGAGAAAAAAAAAATTAAGGAGACAATGGGAAATTTAAACAATAATTAGAATAGTTCATTCAGTCTGATTATTCATTCTAACAAACACATTTATGCAGAGAAAAATGGACACAAATGATTATGAGTTAGTGATTCACTTTCTTTCAAAGAGATTGTTAAAATAAGGATCAGGAAATTATTTTAGTAAACAGCCTTGTAAGTCCAGCAACTCTAAAGCTGTGGAAAGCAACTTTCATGAAAAAGTAAGGTTATCCACTAACACCATATGTAACAAGTCACCCTGGTGGAGCCTGACAAATTCCTACCCATTCCTATTCAAGTGACCTAATAAAGTGGACTATGTATGTTTCATGAAAATTTGACAAATGCATTTTTTATCAACCATCTTTTTTTTACTATAGAAGCATCTGTAATTCTGCAACTAAATATAAATAGTTAAAAAAAGACAATTCTATCATGCAGATCGATACAGACATTTGGCTCTGTTATAAGTTAAACTAGTTAAAGAACCCTTGCATTCATTTTTTTTTACTTAGCACTACTCCAGGTGGTACAAAAGTCCATAGCTCCCCATGAAACTTAAGAAACTTCTAACAGAATCTGAAGACCCACAGTCTTCTGCATCATCCCATCTACACAATAGATACAGAACCACTCCACAGCAGCAGAGGAGAATGTTAACTTCAAGCATCAAGTTGCCAGGAATTACTACAGAGTTTTTTGATTTTTTTAATACATGCAAACTGCCTATGAAGCAAACACCAATTCACCATACACTTCAATGGGTAGGGGCAAGCAGTTGGAAACTAACATTCAGAAATCTAAGAGAGATTCTACTTTGTCACTTCATATTTCCTTCTGTGAAATTTCAAATTTTTAACAATAACATCTGACATGACTATAAACTGAGTTTGAACACAATTTCTTTTGGATTCATCTAGTATTTTCGGATGTTTGTATTTGTTTTGTAAATCTCGAGGAAGACAAAAACATGACCCCTAACCTAGAATATTCTGGCAATCTGTATTAAAAGTTAAACTTAGAGTTTTGTAAAAAGTAGTATGGTTTATTTTTCCAGATACAGATTAAAAAAAAATCCTTTAATGTGTGTAAATTAAGAAAAGTTATTCCCAACATGATTTTGTAAAGGTGTGTTTTCATTTTCTGAAGCAGAGTTCAATGGACATTTTTAGGATCTTGCTAACATCAGCCTTATGTACTCAGAGATTATTGGATCCACTAAATGGACAATGAAATTGGCTGAGGCTGCTGAATGCTTCAATAGGAATCTGATACACACAGAGTCACTATCCTGGTCAATGGAACCAAAGTCTTCCTTAAAATTGTGCTCCTGATAGGCTGAGGATACAATAATGGACTAATAGTTCCTTATGCCAAAAATACATGGCTCTCTCCTGAACAAAGGCTTCATTCTCTGCCCGTCGTCAGCAACCTGAGGGCCTTCTGCAGATTCTGTACAGCGGTGCTCACATCTTCATACTGCAAAGCGCTGCCAGCATATTTGCAGTACTTCTGAGCTCTTGCAAAGTCCTCGGGAGTGAGACGGATATCCCCTAGAGGAGGAAAAATAACCAAGACATGCAATAGACTACACAAAAAAGTACATGCTTATGTTCAAGATTAGAGCAAATATTTAAGGTTATATAAAGACATGAAGGCTGTATTAATACCATTTGCATTCGATAAATTTTCATCATTCTTTTGTTAAATATTATAAACTAGAGACATGCCAATAAAGAATAGCTCATATGAGCAACATTTTTTTCTTCAGTAAAACAGCCTAGAAGTCTTTGTAGTTTAGCAAATCAATTGCAAACAAGGCCCCTCTCTACACCCCAGTTTGTGTGGAGCAAGAAGGCAGCTTAGGAGTTTATACTAGACTGGTTGAGTTCCTCTCTTCACGGAACAATACACACAGACTAAACCCTCAACCTTGATGAGCTAGAATACAAATATAACCCTCAATATAAAAGGTGAAAAACATACTTTATGTAAAACATTACATGTATTAATTTTTTTCCAGCATTAAAATGTTTTACATTTTTGTGCTATCCATGTAAAAAATTCTCAAGTTTCTTCAAACATTTTTTTTAATCATTAAAACACACAGTTAAATACAAAACCATGGACAAATTATTCTCCAATATTTATTTTCAGCAATTTTCCACCTATATACCCAATTAACATGTAAGAACCCAACTGATTAATTTGGGTTAAAATATATTATTTAATTAAATCTTAGATATGAACATACTTGAATATGTGTTTCCAAGTGTAAGATTAAAAGCGAACTGAGTCTTCTGCAATAGCCCCACTTCCTTGTGGATATTAATATGAGGACTGGAAGCAATACTTACTGATGGGGGGAGGCTAGATATAGAATATAATGAGAAGGATAAACATTATAATTTTCTTTATAAGGGTGCACTCAGAATTACTAGTTTTTAGATGTTTTCAATTTTGTTACTGATTCATATAAAATGAAAATTATATTACCAAGGTAAGGAGGAAATGGTAACTCTAGGTAATTTGATATTAAGTTTTAATCAATATTTTCTAAAATTAAATGTTACTGAAATTTTAGCAAATAAGTATGAAAAACTTCATACTAGACATTCAAAAGTAAAGTTTATACAATAAAAGATTAAGTTTCAGATTTTAAAGGTAATACTTGTAAATTTGAGCTGACAGAGTAATATTTCAGGGTGCTATATAATCTTCAGAGACTTACTGAATTAGTATCATTAAAAATTAAATATGGGGGCTGGGATGTAGCTCAGTGGCAAAGCGCTTGCCTAGCAAGTGCAACGTCCTGGGTTCGATCCCCAGTACCAAAAAAGAAAAAAAGACAAAAAAAATTAAATATGGTCCTTATGATTTCACTTTCTAATAGTAAAAGATATTATTTTAGTTTCCTTGAAATTTGGTCTCACTTAAAAGGCTAGCGGTATGCATCAATTTAGTTTCTTCACAAATTTCTGAAAAACATTTATAGTCAACTTGGTATTTGTTACCCAGTCAACCTAAAAACCTACTATTCTTCAGTTCTACTGATAATTTAGTCAGGCATACTTCAGCTTCTATTTTTTTTTTTCCTTGAAAAGTTCCAGATTCGTTAATTATCTATCAAAAAGTGAAGAGGCTCAGGTGTCTTGGATACACATATCATGTAGGTAAGTAGTATGAGTTCCCTTCCCCTTCAACATTGTGCATTTCTACTTTAATACTGTATCCTTTAGACACAGAAGGCATCCATCTAGAATTTACCAGACTTGCTGGAAGACAGCCCTCATGCTCAGATTAATCTTATTTTAACAGCACTGGCTTTCAGGCTCTGCTTGCTGACACATCACTCAAAATTAATAAGACATAATTGTATAATGACAAGAACTGTTACTATTTAAAATTTTTATAAGGTAAACTTAGCCACCAATAATAAAACTGTCTTAAGGCACAAATATTGCATTTTTCATAAAATAATCTCAATATTTATAAAATGAGAATAAAGCACTTTAACTGAAAAATAGATGTGAATGTATATTTTATATATGTATAAATTATAGACATGCATAACAAATTATGTAACTCATATTAAAAACAATAACTTACTTACAATAATAAACTCAGATTTTAATTCAAAATATAACTTAAAGGCATATTAAGACATTAGGATTATTTATTTAGGTTTATTTAACAAACACAAAAGATATTTTCAAATAATTACTTTTTTATCAGGCTTTCCTTCATTAAAAATGTAATTAAGTGATAATAAAAATATGAACTAAAAATCTGAATTGAAGCCGGGTGCTGGTGGCTCATGCTTGTAATCCTAGCTACTCAGGAAACAGATCTAGAGAAGTGTAGTTGGAAGCCCTAGCAAAAATGTCTGCCAGAGTGCATCTCCAAAAATTTTTAACCAGCAAAAATCTAAAATGCTAGGCTGGAGGTGCAGCTCAACTGGTACAGTGCCAGACTAACAAGCAATCTGGGTAAGTATGAGACTGAGTCAACCAGTACCATCTGAGAAAAAAAAGTCACCTTTAAGATTTGTGTAAATTAGCAGGAAGTAGTAAAGAAATAAGAACACATTTACACAACGATATATACCTAGAAAAGTATAGTTTTGTTTCTTCATTCTTTCCTTTTAAACAGGGTCATACTCTATCATGTTCTGCATTTTGCCCTTTAACTTCATGTATCTAGACAATCAAGTAAGAAAACATACCTGCATACATGCAATCAGAGGAAATGATTATTAAAAACACTTAGAGTTTTTAAATATAAAAAATTAAATCCCATATCACATATGAAGAAGTAATCTATGAACAAGAAAAATAAAAATAACTTTATATATGACATGAGGTAAGAAACAGAAAAGTAGGAAAGATCAGAATCAACATACCATCACCTATCAAACAGCCCATCAAAATAATTAATCTCAGAGATGTTTATTTTCAAATTACTTGAGACAATCTAGTGCAGAAAAGGAAGGTCACAGTCATAATATATAGCAATCTTGAATAATTTAGCATCAGCTTCCATGGTGGCTTTAGCTACTACATGTTTGTAGATATATATAACAGACGACAAAATAAAGAAAAAGAATGAAGTGGAACAAAGGGGAACAGATCCAATTTCCTTGTTTTTGATTATATGATAGTCCTGGTTCATTTGAGAATTTAGTGAACACAGGCATTGAAAGAAATTTGTTTTGAATTAACTAGACATTCAAATTTAAATAAGAACATTTAAATACCTGGTACTCCCAAGATAATATTATAAAGTAATACCCTAAAATAGAGGATACAATACAACTTACACAACATCCAGCTGACTTACCCTGGGAAATTGTACTGAACAGTGCAGGATCGATGGCTGGAATAGTCTGTGGGGCCGGCTGGACAGTACTACTTGTGACACCTGCAAATCAGAAACAAAAAAACGAGCAGACTTAACTATATACTAAGAAAGAATTCTGTGTCTGACTATCTTCCTCTTCCCAGTCTTCATTTTGAGGTACTGGAGATGAAACCTTAGCTTTACCTTACACATCACATTATCTGAAAAGCATATTCTCTTCTCAGATTTTAATTCCTTAGCCATATTAATATTTTTGGGGACAAGGTGAGATATAATTATAAAGCAAATGAAGTAGAAAAACTGGTTAGTCGAAACCAATGAAATCAAATAATCTGTCAAAGCAAGGTTATTTATTCTAAGGTATCAGCTTAAATTGGAATAGGATATATGACAACTGGCAATTGGTAGTAGAGATAATTAGGGGGAAATACACTGGGATAGGGAAACAGGAACAAAAGAAAGGCAGAAGATAAATTAGGAATTTTCTAGAGATACAAGTACATGTTGTAGAAGAGTTGTAGAACAATGCTTTCACAAAACTTGATGAAATTCTAGTTTTCCAGGGGAAAAGTTCTGTCTCTGAAGGATTTATCTCTATCCAAAGATAAAAAGTGGATGAAATATATATTATTTTACATCACTTAATTTTTTTGTATAATTCATTTTATAACTTTTGGACATATTAATAATCATGAAAACATATTTTGTGCATGTTTTAAGTCAGGGCTACCCCATGCAGTACAGGTTGGCCATGAACTTGCCAGGCTCCTGCTTCACCAAGTATAAGACTACAAACTACAAGCATATGTCACCATGTCTGGTTTACAAAAATCTTTACTAAAAATTTTAACTAATAAAATTGAAAAAAAATATAAAAAGATACAGACAAAGTGAAGGGAAAAATTTTGAAAGTACAAAAACCCTGAGAGTTAAAGATATACTAAACTGAGAGGAAAAGCACAAAGGTAAAGAAGTAGGCAGATTGGGTTCAGTGTAATCACAGGAACTGAAAGAAACGCACAGAGAAGAATGTCAAAGAAAACACCAAAACCTAACAGGAGAATGCAAATACAGCACTTCTGAAACCATTATTACCACAAAGCTCAGTTTCTAATAAAAAGGTTAGCACTATTTATTACCTAATTCTTTTATCTAATTGGGTTTTCTTTTAAGATATTCTGTAACACTTATAGAGTATAAGAGGTATATGCTTCAAGAAACAAACAAAACAACCCTTACATTCTAATCACCAGCATATGGTATTTATGGAGAGAGCAAAGCAGAAGAAGCAAAAACTGGTTAAACAATTACCATTCCTACCCTCCTTTTTTTTTTTTTTGTGAACTAAAAACTAAAAGCTGTAAATTAGTACATACTATTCTTTTCAGCTATCTTAAGGATTTCCCTTTGATAAAAGTGCATCCTGGACCTTTATTTGAAAGAAAGTAAATCGTTCTTAAAGTGAGTAAGAGGGGAAACATCTGCTATGTTTATAAATGAAAACTTATTTTGATTTTTGTATGACTATGAACTAAGTTCAAAATGCTTCAAATATAATAGAAAAAATCTGGAGGCTAAGAGGAGATTCCAACAACTCAAACCAATATTAAAGGGAACTGTATACCAGAGAAATAGGTTTTGAATTGGCAATATTTTAATTCCTTGGTGACATAAAGTTAGAGGGCAAAAACAGGAAATCAGGGAATTGGGGTCAAATATTGGATCTATTACCATGTAGGCTGACGTTCTTGGGATAAACGATTAATTTCTTTAGACTTTAAAAATAGATGATGGCTTCCAAAATAGCTGCTGCAAAGATAAATGTTTAATCACTAAGTCCAAAAGGATATAAAGTTCTAAGTTTATTTATTTCCTGTTCTAATAAATGAGAGAGAGAGAGAAAGAGAGAGAGAGATGCATGATGTATATACAACCTCATGCCTGAGTTAACATAATCAAAATTTTATATTGGATCAACCCAATAGAGCATTTCTACTAAAAAGTGCTTTCATATATATATATATATAGAGAGAGAGAGAGAGAGAGAGAGATTTATTGAGATTTATATATATACATTTATATATATATTTATAGATTTATATATATATACAATAAACCTCTATATTATATATTACTACCAATATATTACTATTAAATTCATATGTAACTATAGCTCTGCTCTTACATAGTTTATAATCAATACACAAAATCTTTCTGAAGATTTTGAGATGCTACACCAAGATGTAACACTTCCTTTGATTCACAAAAGCATTTTCAGTGCCAATTATTTTGTCATTACAGATGCTGTCTCTTTGTCACAGACAGGAAAAGGGAAAACAGAGAAGGAAAAGAAACAAAGAAGTTTTATGTTAAAGTTTACTAGTCAACATTTATACATTTTTTTCCCGTTTAGTAATTAATCAGGAAAAGTAATGCATAATTTCATTTTAGAAGGAAGAAGTCAAGAATGAAGGGAGTTGAACACATATTGAATACAATAAATATTAAAACTTCAGTGAGAAAATATATTTGTGGGTTCAAATGGAATTTAAAGATACCATGTGTCAAAATCATCATTATGGAGCAAAATATAAGCAGTGGCATTCTTTTTCTATCCGAAGGAAAGTCAACAAGTGAGGTTTGGATTTTTTACCTGTGCTGTGTGGCACTTCTGCAGGGGTATTAGCGGGAGCATGTGCACCTGGGGGAATCTGGATTCCAGTAAAGCTGCCTGATGGCATGTGGCTTGGGTCATATGCTGAAGAGGATGAGGGCTCGGGTGGCTGAGTGGGCAGAGAGGTTGCTCCCGCATCTTCGTTTTCTTCAACATCTATTACATAGTAAAATATATAACATACACACAGATGTTAAACTGAGATACAAACGAGCATTCTCATTTTGTCATACTCACATGATAAACAAAAGCTATAAATACAATTCTATTTAAAATAGTTCTTAAGTAGATTCTGTCTCTCAAAATAATCAAGTCTTTAATTATGTCTGACAATATGCGTATTGCTTTTCTTAGTGACCACTTGCCAAGTCCACGAATTGTTTTGCACACAGTATATTTTAAAACCAACTTTCTTTACACAAAACAATCAAAGTCATTTTTGGCAAAATATGTCACTTTTACACTTCAATATGAATTGTATTTTGACAGCTGCCTTTTAGTCAGTGTTTACTGTGTACTAGCTACATTCCAAGTACAGAGAAGGAAAAAATAATAAAGATAAGGACAAATATAAAGAATAGAAAATAAAGAGAAGACAGCTATCATAAGTAATAGTGTGAAAGAGGTCATATGAAAGAGGTGATATCCTACAGACATTACAAAGATGATGAAGACAACAGAGACATATTGGAGCAACTGCTGAAAGAACAAACTATTAAACTCATCTAAGGGGTTATCTGACGAGTCCTGTACCTAAGGAAAAAAATTAAATTTGAAGCTGAGAAACCTGGCCTAGATGGAACTTATTGATGTTACTAAGCATGTACATGAGATGTAATGGTAATCCTACGCCTATAAAAACACTTTCAGAAAACAGAAGGAGTGGGAGATACATCCCTTTCAATTTGCATTATGGGGTTATGTAAACTTGATATTGAAACTTACTTCAGTCTTGAAAGCAGCAAATAGATTTTTAACACTAGAATAAAAATCTAGCCATAATACAAAGTCTGGTCAGGAACGAGTGTGGTTTCCCAGAGTGCAGGTTTGGTTCAACATGTGAAAAATTCTTCAATATAACACTGAATAAAGATGAAAAACCTTAACTTCAATAAATGCATAAGAATTAGGACTTCAGAAAATTCAACATCCACTATGACAAAAACTTTCAATACCCTCACTAATGGAGGAAATCCCTTAGTATCACACAGAGTTTTAAAAAAAAAAAGCAAAACCAACCAAACAACCCAAAACAAGGGTACAATAGGAAAGGTTGGAAAGAAAAAGGCATAAAGATTGAGAAGAGGTAAAAACGTAAGTAGGGGACCAAATTTTGTACACACAGACACAAGGCTGAATTTGCACATTAGCCAGTAGGACTAACTAGGTAAAATTAACAATGTTGCAAGATACAAGATCTTTTTTTTTTTTT